TGACTATCTGTTTAAGTTTCCATAGGCTTTTAGGAAGAGGGGGATATAGACCTGTCCTTTCACATGCCCCATAAAAAAAAATCACAAGATATCAAATCAGGTTAACGTAATGGCCATTGCAAGAGCACATTGTCATGATCACTGACACGACCGATCCATATTCCCTGGTAGATTCTCATTAAGTCCGCACAGTCAATAGGTTTTGTTAAAATTTGAGAAATTTTAAGCGAGAATTAGACTACAAATTGTTGTCAATTTTGGGGGACACGCTCCTCTCTCTCTCTCTCTCTCTCTCTCTCTATATATATATATATATATATATATATATATATATATATATATATATATAAGACTGACACCAATTATATATTGAGTCTTTATAACAGCTTCCGAGATTAATTTTTAAACATTGTCCCTTTTTTTTCTTGCTTTCTGTCTTTCTTTCTGTCCGCTGGTTTGCTTGACTGGCTGCTTGTCAGTTTATCAAAGAAAACTCCATAAATAAAAAGACGCCCAACATCAAACAAGTCATTCCTCACGTAGAGAGCAACAAAGACTTAAATGAACGACATTGATTGTCCGCGACGAACAATATTCTCTAAATTAGACAAGAGTGCTTTAAGTAATTGTCTCAACATAGAGAAAGCTTAATTGTTCAATCGATAATATCTTTTGTTCTGCTTTGAAAAAAAAAAACATTGAGTTGCTGGTAAATGAAACGGAAGTCAAAGTGCACACACCGGATGTGCAATAAGTACCAACCGTACTAAAAAAAAAAAAAAAGACCTTCATCTTTGGTTATAATTTCTTTTCAGATGATTTTCTGTTGCTTACTTTTGGTGGGAAAATATTTTCGTTACATAAGAAAATAAAATAAGGGACAACATTTTTCAAGCTTTTTTCTTTTCTTTCCCTTGACAGTTCCTTCCTTTTTCGTCTTTTTCTTTCCCTTGATTATGCTTTTCCCTTTCCTCTTTTTCTTTCCCTTGATTATTTTCGTCATTTTCTTCTTTCTGTTTCCCTTAATTATTTTTGTCTTTTTCTTCTTTTTCTCGCCATTGATTATTCTTTCCTTTTTAGTTTATTTCTTTCCCTTGATTATTTTCGTCTTTTTTTTCATCTCTTTCTTTTCCTTGATTATTCTGGCCTTTTTTTTTTTATCTTTTTCGATCATTTAATTATTCTTGTATTTTACATCTTTTTCTTCCCATTCATTATTCTTGTTTGTTTTGTCTTTTACATTTCCTTGATTACTCTTGTATTTTTCGTCTTTTTCTTTCCCTTCATTTTTCTTGTCTTTTTCTTCTTTTTCTTTGCCATGATTATTGTCTTTTTCATCATTTTTCCTCTGTTTATTCTTGTCTTTTTCATCTTTTTCTCTCACCTGATTACCTTTACGTTTTAGGCTTTTTCTTTCACTTAATTATTCTCGTCTTTTTTGTCTTTTACTTTCACGTGTTTATTCCTGTCTTTTCGTCATTTTCATTCCCTTGATTATTATTGTCTTTTTTTCACTTCGTTATTCTTGTCTTTTTCCTTTCAATAAATCGCCACTTCGCTTGACGTAACATTTTGGAAAAATATTTTTCTTTGATAAGAAATTATTTCATGCTTATTCAATCATTTCTTAATTAAGATCAAGGATGACATTCCCTTAGATATTCTGAGATTTAGTTTCTCAATGTTTGGACCTGATTCTTTAATATTTGTTAAATTCTCTATTTCTTTTCACACTGACCATTCTGTATTCATTCTATTTGTTTCTATTTCTTTCTTAATCTCTGATCTTTTTCTCCTCTTACATTATTTCTTTCTATTATTTGTTCTATTTGCTTTTTATTTGTCTTTGTTTTGCTTCTCACTTTTGTGTACCTCCCTCTGCATTCTTACTCATCCTTCTCTTCCTATTCTTCTTCGTTCTATTCTGTTATTCATTCACTGCTCTTCTCTTTTTGTCCCTCACTCGGCTTTTGCTTTCCGCCTCACCCTTCTTTAAAAAGTTCATTCTCTCTTTTTCTTTCTTTTTCTTTCTTTTTCTTTGTCTCCGTTCTTCACTCTCTATTTTCCGCTTATTTTTAGTCGATTGATTGATTTTTCTATTTAACTGCATATCAACTCCTGCTGGGTCATTTAATGTCGAAAATTTAATTTTCTTGGAAGCTTTCAAGTAATAAAAATATGATATATGTTATTCTGCTTTTGCAATTGAATACATGGTAGATGATACTCAGCTTTTGTGCATATAAATGATTCTGTGGACATAATTACTAGAGGGAGTGATGTGTATGTGTTTTATGTTGTAGTTTTGTTGAAGTTATATTTTGGAATACAGTTTGATTTCTTTAATAAATTGTTGGATATTATATGAATTAATGCCATGAAAGAGTTCTTTCATGCTGGGTAGTTTAGTTTAGCGACATATCAACACCTCTATGGGTTATTTAATGTTGAAATGTAAATATTTTTAACACAATTTTATGACTTCAACTAAATATATTTTGAACACAATTGTGTGCTTTCAACTACAGGTAAAAAGTATTTTTGGTCATTTTGCTATAAAATGTGTTTTTGGTCATTTTGTTATAAAATGTATTTTTGGTCATTTTGTTATAAAATGTGTTTTTGGTCATTTTATTATAAAATGTGTTTTTGGTTATTTTGTTATAAAATGTATTTTTGGTCATTTTGTTATAAAATGTATTTTTGGTCATTTTGCTATAAAATGTATTTTTGGTCATTTTGCTATAAAATGTATGTTTGGTCATTCTGTTATAAAATGTATTTTTGGTCATTTTGCTATAAAATGTATTGCTAGTCATTTTATTATAAATAGGTATTTTTATACTTTCATAGTGTTCTGTTTGGGGATTCACTTTTTCCCCATAGATGGTCCCTAACAGGTGCTACCACCGTGGGTCAGGGTTTATCTGGGGACAACAGCAATTAAGAGGTGGCTCCTCAAATCACCCAATATCCTGATCAGAGGCCTTGCTGCTGGATGTAGTGTTATTTTTGTCAGATTAAATGCGTTCAGGGTAAGACGATAAACTACGTCCAGCAGCAAGGCCTCGGATGAGAAGGTTTTGAAGAGCGTGGAACCACATCTTAATTGCTGCTGTTCCTAGGTTCACCCTGACCCGGGGTGGTAACACCTGTTAGGGTCCCAGCTATGGGCAAATAGTTAATCCCGAAACTGGGGTAAAAACATTATGAAAGTGTAAAAATAGGTTTTAGTAACAGAAATACTTTAAAACATTATTATCAGCAATCAATTTTGAAGAAAAAAACTATTACCAGCAATACATTTTTGAAAAAAAATATTACCAAGAATGTTTTTAAAAAATAAATAGTACTAGCAATACATTTTTGAAAAAAAAATATTACCGGCAATACATTTTTGCAAGAGATCTTTACAGTGAAACATATTCTGTTTGAGCGTGTAAGATTTTGATCCAGTGCGAACAAAATATTACCAAATGAGTAATTTTAAAAAAACTTTTTCACGAAAATAAAAGCATCCAAGATTGCAAATTTCCTAAAAGAAGTTGGACTGTACTAAAAAATATGAGTAATTGAAAAATGGTTCAAATATATATGTATACATAGACACCTTTTTCTTTTTTTTACCAAACTATCGCTATGAATCTATTTCAAAATTTTGTTGGCATTAAATGACCCACTGAGGTTGATATGCCATAAAACAAAACAACCAACCAAATGCCAGATTAAAAAAAAAAACAAAACAAAACAACTTTAACCTGTTTTCATTACACATTCACCACTTGCTCTTGTAGCGGACCGTTGGGTTTATGTGTTGTTAAATTAGGAACACTTGAATTTATTCCTGCTAGAAGGTCCACTACAAGAACATGGGGGACTCAGAGATTGAGTCCACCATAAAGAAGTGTAAAGAAAACCAACAAGACCGATATGTATATGCCACAAGTATATGTATTAAACAACAAAATTTACAATGGACATAGACATAAACATTTGTGTTTGTGTGTGAATGTAGAGTTTGTATTTTGGTGAATGTTCGTACGTACGTAATGTTCATGACGTCTCCCACAAATAGGAAGACGCAATCTTCTGCGAGAGCTTACGTTGTAGATGTGTTCGCTGAAATACAAAGTAAAAAGAGAACGAGGTAAGAAATCGCCCAGTATTTATAATGTAGGAGAGTAAAAACAGAGAAAAAATTAAGGAGGAGTTAACTCCGACACTCTCGACACCAGTGGTTGCATTTAGAGTTTAGGTTGAAGGTCAAGATTTTATATTTTTGCTTTCATAGGAATTTGTTGTGCTGGCGAGCATGTGTTTCCCATTAAAAAAGCTGTCTTCCTTCGCCTGACTTAGTGTCCTACTAATTTGTATGGAGATTTAAGCCGCAAATACAGGAAGAACAAGGAACATAAATTGAAAGTTTGAAGGAATATTATTGAAATCTCTATCTATAAAAGGCAGGATGTATGTATGTGTGTGTGTAACGAATGCACGGCCGCAATTTTCGACGGATTTGCACCAAAATTTACATGCACATGTTCCAAGTTAGTGGGAAGGCCAAGACCGATTTTGCATTTCCCAACTTCCATTGATAGTGGAAATAATCGATTTTTTCATGCTTCTACGGCAGTTTTAATGTAGTTTGCGGCCATTTTGTACTGGCCAGGGTGAGAGCCTATAGCTGGCTGCCACGAATAGGCAGGAAGATTCTATTGGCCAGCGTGAGAGCCAACAGCTGACTGACACGAAGGTTAACTAGCATGCAAAAAAAAAAATCGATAGCTGCATTCGTCACAAGTGGGAAAAATTTAAATCTGCATGGGACTTTACTCCAATTGGCTCATTCACTTGCTTAAACTCAACGTTGATTCTGATTCCGCAGAACTGGGTTGGGTGTGAAAAAGTATTTGTTGTTAACATTCTTTTTTTCATTCGGTTTTTCCAGTTACGAGTCCTTTTTTTAAAGCTGATCGTTTTGTGTTCATTTTGTTTAGTTCTTTTTTCGTAACAGATTTAATGTTTAGTATAGAGCTTAGAAAAACTTCGCAGTGTGAGATAGGCAAGAAGTAAGGCATGTAGCAACATCAGCACGGCAAAGGGAACTCCTTTAAAGGCAAGGAATGGCAAAAATATTTTAAGTCAAGTGATAGCGATTGCTGTATGAGTCGTACGATTTTTGAATCAAGCACGGGCAACGCCGGGCCATCCTGCTAGTTCATTTATAAAAATAGTACTCAAATAATAGTTCTTGTTGCAAACAAATTGTTCTGTTTACGGCTATATATTATAATGAAACAATATAAGTCCACTTAACTGAAGTCCTTGGTGTTTTAGAATGGTTTACGTACTAATCTCATTAGTACGGCTCTCATGTCATAACTGCTGGCATTGAAGCTGAGATGAGTTCAATGTGCTGTCCTTTGCAGATCTCGACAGAAAAGAAGCCGAGCAGAAGTGAATAGCATTCGTTTATAATTGGCGCCAACATATTCTGGCTAATGATTGGTTGGTTTGACGCTATACGTGATCACTAGATCAAGGGCGATAACTCACCTACCTAGCATATATATTTTCCTTATATTTTAGCCCAGAAAATATTGAAATCTCGCAAGCCATCGTTAGTGCGTCCAGTCACGAATTTAATTAAGGATGACTTAAAAACTAGAAGTAATCTCACACATTTCATGTTTACGAGATCTTTCTGAAAAGTAACGGGATTTGGTAAGCTGTGTGCTTTATGAGTGAGAGAGGGATTAGCGTATTGTGTTATCATCTTACATGATATCTTTGGTGTATAAAGATTTAATCTTAGCTTTCTGCAACCATTGCATTTTTTTAATGCTTTTGTGGAACGACAAATCATAGCTGCTTCACCATGACAATACACCTGCTCACAACGCCCTGAGCAAATGTCAGTTCCTGGTCGAGAAATACTTCGCTGTACTGGAACAATCTTTCTATTCACCCTATCTTGCTCAGTCAGACTTTTTGTTCCCCAAGCTCAAGGGTATCATCAAGGGAATCCATTTTGAAGGTGTAGAGGCCATCAAGAGGGTCATAATGACTGAACTGAGGAGCATCCAAAAAGAATCCCCCCCCAGCAGTGCATAGAAGCGTAGCAGAGAAGGATGGAAAAGTGAAGAAATTATGGAATGTTGTTTGGAATTGAAATAGTTTGTGACACCAGACCCGTTACTTTTCTGATAGACCTCATATATATATATATATATATATATATATATATATATATATATATATATATATATATATATATTAAGAAATGGACAAAGTCCGACAATTTATTTATTAAAGACATTTTTATGTTTAACGTTCTTTTTATAGATACAAGTATTTAAGTAAATGATCTGTTTATAATAAACAGTATTAAATAACATTTACCGGCCTGAATGTCCGAGAAATTTTCATAGAAAATATTCGTCCTTTGACAGGATTCGAACCTGCATCCTATACGGAATAAATATTAATATTTTTTAAATGAATGCTATTTTACTTCTTTTTACACTCAGTACAAAGTACTAATACCAACATTATTAATATTAAAATT